GCATCTAATTGGCCCCAGTAAAGAACATAATTCTTGCTGCATATATCTGAGAAGGTATTGAAACGCTCTGCGACCATTACATCCATCGTCATTTTAATTACGTCGCAACTGAAAATAGTTCATTCTCGATGTAATTAGATGAAAGAGTCGCGAATATAGGACAACGAGACAACATAACTCAACGATATGCAGTCGCTTAATTGCTCAATGTACAAATTAAATACATATACACACACGCACACGCAGAGCACGCAAACGGCACGCGAACACCGCACACACACACTGACTGAGCACACACACACACACACACAACATATATATATATATATATAAATATATAATATATATTTGTAAATCAAAAATACATAATATCAAATCATCAAATATCAGGATCAATATAGGATAGAAAATTAAATGAATTAAACTTCACGATAGTATTGTCGAAATACTCAACAGAAGCTCCACAATGCAACGCACGCACATGGAACAAACACAACACATAATATACACGCACAACGCAACTCGCACACCACACGCACAGCCCACACGCACTCCGCACACGCCAACTGTTGCCGCACACCACATCGAGATGAGACACACGCAACACGCACACGCACACGCACACGCACACGCACACGCCGACGGCACACGTATGGTCACACGCACACGCAAGCACGCACACGCACACCACACAGCACTATCGCACATCGTCGCCGCGCTGTATGCGATTATGCGTACTGGTAATGCGGGTAAAAAATCCGGCACATGACAGGCTGGCTCCACAAAATTCAAGCTTATAAATATTGCTTTACACATTGCCGGATGTAGGTGTTCGGTTACCCGGATGGTGTAGGTGTTGGTTACCACCGGGCAGGTGTAAGGTACGGTGCGCGTGCGAAAACGGTCATAATACGTAGCGCGTGCGACCGAGGCGGGTGTACGATACAGTGCGCTGCGACCGGGCGGATGTAGCGTACGCGCGTTGCGGCCGGGCAGCGTGTCAGGTACGCGCGTGCGACCGGCGCGGGTGTACGTTACCGTGCGTAAGCGATCGGGCGGATGTACGACGACGCGTGCGCCGGGCAGGTGTAGATGTACGCGCGTGCGACCGGGCAGGTGTACGTACGTGCGTGCGGCGAGCAGTGTTACGTACGTCGCGTGCGACCGGCGGGTGTACGTACGCGCAGTGAACCGGGCGGGGTGTAGGTATGTGCGGCGCCGAGCAAGGGTACACGTACGGTGGCGTGCGGCCCGAAGCAGGGTGTTACGTAGCGCGCGTGCGACCGGCGGGTGTACTTACGCGCGGCGACCGGGGCGGTTGTACGTACGCCGCGTGCGAACCGGCGGTGTACGTACGCGCGTGCGGGCCGGCAGGTGTAACGTACGCGCGGCTGGCGACCGGGCAGGTGTAGGTATGTGCGTGCGGCCGAGCAGGTGTAACGTATCGCGCGGGTGCGGTCTGGCGAGGGTACGTACGCGCGTGTGGCCGGGCTAGGTGTAAGTACACCTGCGTGCGACGGGCGGGTGTACCGTACGCGCGTGCGGCCGGGCAGGTGTACGTAACGCGCGTGCGACGGCAGGTGTACGTAGCGCGCTGTGCGGCCGGGCGGTGTAGGTACGCGCGTGCGACCGGGAGGGTGTACGTACAGCCGCGTGCGGTCTGCAGGTGTAGGTACGTGCGTGCGGTCTGGCCGGATTACGTACGCGCATGCAGCGGCCGGGCGGTGATTACGTACTCGCGTGCGACCGGCAGGTGTACGTCTACGCGCGTGCGTCTGGCAGGTGTAGGTACGTCTGCGTGCGGCTGCGGTGTACGTAACGCGCCATGCGACCGGGCAGGTGTACGTACTGCGCGTGCGACGCGGGCGGTGTACGTACGCTGCGTGCGACCTGGCAGGTGTAAAACGGGTAAAAACGCGCGTGGGCGACGGGCGGGTGTACGTACAGACGCGCGTGCAGCCTGGCGGTGTAAGTACGCGCGTGCGAACCGGCAGGTGTACGTAACGGCGCGTGGCGGCCGGCGGGTGTATCACGTACGTGCGGGCGGTCCGGGCAGGTGTAGGTACGCGCGCATGACAATCACAACGGGGAACACTGAACCCAGTGTAGAAAAACTGGGGCTAGTCACCGGGAAGCAGACAACGAGCGCAGTTCACCCTCCGGAGAAGATAGAAGAAACAAGAAAGAAGATAGAAGACAGAAGATAGAAGAAAGAAGATAGAAGAAGAGAAGCCAGAAGATAAGAAAAAGAAGACAGAAGAAAGAAGACAGAAGATAGTAAGATCGAGATCGAAGATAGAAGATAGAAGATGAAGATAGAGATAGAAGATAGAAGAGAGAAGGCAGAAGATAAAAGAAAGAAGAGGGACGACAGAAGAAAGAAGAAGGAAGAGAGAAGATAGAAGAAAGAAGATAGAAGAAAGAAGAAAGAAGAGAGAAGACAGAAGACAGAAGAAAGAAGACCAAGAAAAAGAAGAAGAACGAGAAATCGGCCGCAGACGCAAGAGGAGAAGGAGGAGAACGCCGACAGCAAGTGCCGTTACGTCTTATTCTCACTGCCGACAATCTCAAACAGATACTCGGGTTCGCGTATCATGCCGAAGCAACCTATATTTTTTGCACGTAAACGCGTTCACTGGCCTTATGCCATATAAATACTTATAGTTTACACAAAAGTAATGTCACGGCCATTCAGAGCACTCATAACGCGTCGGGTACACCAGGTAGGAATACCTGCATAACTGTAGTGTAATGAAGCAATAAAGCTACCAGGTTTCGTATACTTAAGAAAACTTGCGTTGCTGTTTATTTGCCTCTGTTTGTGTTATCTCTCTGCTGCCAAACGCAACACAGTCCCGCTTTGCACCTGGGAGCGAAGAAATGATTCCCGCAAAAACAATAAGTGCATTCACGACGCAACCAAATTCTCGTAGCGGCTAACCCCTAGGGCACTACAGTAGTACACCTGCTCGGCCGCACGCGCGTACGTACACCCGCCCGGTCGCACGCGCGCACGTACACCTGCTCGGCCGCACGCGCGTACGTACACCCGCCCGGTCGCACGCGCGTACGTACACCTGCTCGGCCGCACGCACGTACGTACACCTGCCCGGTCGCACGCGCGTACCTACACCTGCCCGGCCGCAGGAGGCAGGCGCGTACCTACATGGAGGCAGGCAGGCAGGCAGGCATGTAGGAAGGCAGGCCGGCCGACCGACCGACCGACCGACCGACCGACCGACCGATCGCTCGCGATCACAGGCAGTACATCATGTGTTTTAGGTTCTATAATAGGTTCTATAGGTGCATCGCTGGTTGCCATAGAGACGGAGCTGGAACAGCAAAACTTGGCTAACTATCTCTTTAACAATAACTTCCGTACCGATGGTTCTGGTGTGTATGTTAAGATACAAAGTGACATGTATAGGGAGGTTTGTTGTCGACACTAGTACTGATGAACGAAGGCGTAGTGTAAAATATAGATGCGTTTATTCTAAGTTACGACATAACTTGCGCAACCTGCAGAGTCGTCTAAGACCAAGACTGCCCGACGCCAACGAAAACCAGAATCAGAATTCCGGGTCTCTTCCGCACGCACGCACGCACTCACGCACGCACGCACGCACGCACACACACACACACACACACACACACGCACACACACAATCTAACGCAAAAGTACATACACTTGTGGTACCTATCTGTCTTGGTGTCATCACTTGTCACTTGTTAAACTAGCACTTTTAATTAAGAACTTTTTATTATTGCACTGACGGTGAGGAGCTTGCAAGCTCATGTTTATTTATCTTTTACCAATGTAACGTCTTTAAATGAATAGATAAATGAATGAATAAACAAATAAATCAATTACTCATTAAACAAGTTCATTCTGAAATCAATTACTGATAGTGATGCATTAGTTACTTTGACTTTTTTTAATTTTCGAAGCAGCTATAATTTTGTAGATAATTGTATATAGTAGTCAAGTGAATGTAATTCTAAATCTGCAGAAATTGAACATATTTGCTCTGCGTGTAAATGATCAAAACTGAATAGATGCGATTCACGGCCATTAAAGTTATGTAAGGTATTATCATTATTAATTTTATTATAATAAACTAATTAAAATTGCGTTTATTACTTATGCGATAATGTATTTCATTCTAATTACACGTACAAGATGTCGGCAAAAATCGCAACGGACAAACATCTTCATGTCTACGTCTACTGCGTAGACTAAATGAATTAATAGTGATGGCATTCTGTGAAATGTCTGTTCAGAAATCGCTAAAACAGATAGCAAAATAGCCATTTAATTAAGAGCAGATATTTCTATGTGCTAATTACAGTTTCGTAGAGAATAACAATACCGGTACCGTTAAATCTACCTAACCATTGTCTTCTAAAACTACGGAAATTGGCGAGATATATGTATGTGTAGAAGCTAGCTGCTCGCAGTTGGTCAATATGCACGCATGTCTTCTTGAACGACCTTTCTCAGATATTCTGGAGTAACCTGATCAATGGTCTCGATGTGGAGCTCTTTTGAAAATATCTATGAATAACAAAATTTAAGAACAAAATTATAAGAAGCCTATACACATCAACAATGAAATGTTACGAAAATGTACTCAGTAGCGTTGATATAGTAGTTGAAGCCAGCGAGTGTGAAGGTGTAGCCTACGGCTTTACACACACTCACAGTTAAACTGAGGTGACTTGTGTTGGTAGAAAAGCGTAGGTAAATGAGAGCAGCAGAGAGACAGACAGCCAGACATGAACGCACGCGAGCACACAGTGAGTGAGAGAGAGAGAGAGAGAGAGAGAGAGAGAGAGAGAGATGGGGGAGAGAGAAAGAGAGACGTGCGACAGAAGCAACGAGAGGGAGAAATAAATCACTATACAAAAATCACATTACCAATGTCATTCACCGGTTTTATTATCCAACGTTTAAAAGCGCAGATAAAATCAAAAAGGCAACATTTTCATGCGATAGTTAAACTCACGCAACGTGAACACGACGTCGGTTCTACACCACAAAAACAGCAGTCAACTCACTGTAAAACAGCGACGTGTGCGTCGTCGTTCCTTACCAGTACGATTTCCTTGAGGAGACCCTTGTCCGTGCTCATGCGCGCCCTCTGGATGACGCTCACCTGAGGACCGAACCAGGTGAGAAGAACGAACTTGGAGCAATGCTGCGCGTACGAGTCGCCCACCTCCACGCACACGTAGGCGAACAACCGGTCGTCATCTGTGTGGCAAACAGGCACTGGTTTTTACCTTCCGATTAGAACACATAGATATCCCATGATTTTATGCTCATTTGTAGACCCTAGCATAAAACATGAGACATAATCCTAATTGTTACAGATATTGGTCATTATAGTCGTTGAATTACTGGGAATTGAGCTTTCACGTTCATCATATTAAGAGTAGTAATAGCTTTACTATGGCTAGTTCTATTCCAAATCAATGCCCATAGTTTACCTGTAAAATGTGATTTCATCTCATCAAAATCATTTCCTACGCCACCACAGACGAGGTAGTTGTTATCATACTTGAAGACTGCCCTACAATATAGTGGCAAATTCTTACATTCAATCATCCTAGAATTGATAATCACCTATGTAATCACCTACAGCGCATATATTTACGGAAATATATTTAATTGCGTAATGATGTTTAATATTACAACGTAATCGTTGTCATTAATAAGTTTGTTTGACACTGCAGTAAAGATTGATGTCTATGCAACTTACAGATCCCCATTTCAGCAAATTTTAATACAGCGCATAGCAATGATAGATATGCCAAAATTAGTCTTATCTATTTTTCTATAGGTTATAAAAATTCACACGATAACAATAAAGACCAGCATAATAACACTTGCCAAGTAATGTCGGTGTTCACATCTCTTACGGCGTCATATGCTTGAATTACATTCTCCTTATCTACTATCGTTGCCATTTTATGAACTATAACTATCTCGAACGAACGTCACGCTGCTTTACACACGATCACTGGACACGAGCAAAGGCAATCTCTGTGTGTATACCTACTTAGCTGCTCTGGTCACACATATTTCTAAGCGTGAGATGTTTGTGCATCTACAACCGGCGTGACACATCCGTTTCCGTCGACTCACATCATGGCTTACATGGCCGGTAGTATAGCATCAGCGGATATTGAGTCAGTAAATGGGTGTATATAATATGTAAACGTACACCAGGTTATATCCCCGCATTCGAGTTATTCGGCCTTGTGTACAGGCTCGCGGCCAGGAGGCGTATCTCTAGATATTTCGTCTGCCGCGTACTACAAATGTGCTCGACCCGTCATTTACGCGATTTCGTAGATTTATATCAATTTAAGCGATTACTGCCATTATAGCACTTGGGCATGTACTACCTGATAAAAATTTTACGTTATTAAATTGGAAAATAAATTGGATAAAAGGTTCACACCTGTTTTCATGCGCATGTCCATTTAAAACACCGAGTGAAATTATTTACACTTACCATTGGAATGGGACCTGAATCCCTGGAATACAGAAAACATGCCAATTAAGGGACCAATTCATGAGAATTCATGGGTCACCGGGACGGAAAAAAGTCCTATGCCGGGGACCTATGCTCCGGGACAGGAAATATGTGAAAAATGGGGTCTCCGGTGCGGAAATTTTGAGGTGAAATTTGGGGTCTTAACCGCGGCACATACCTACCATACAATATATATATATGGAGTGCCCCCCCCCCCGGACATTCTCCTCGTCGCCTTCCAACACCATTACGCATTAACTAGCCTGACGGGGGAACCAACCAGACGCCCATGCACACATCAAACAATGTATGTGTGTGTGTGTGTTGTGTGTGTGTGTGGGTTATTTTGGGAAAAGTGTAGAGCAGCGAGGACGCTGAATCGATGACAGGGTTGTCATCGTTTTGGGGAAAAGGGAGATAAATGTAACATCTGTTTTACACATGTCGCATTGAATTAGTAAATGTAGAGGCATAGGTTAGGATCGACCGTTTAGCAGATAGATTAGAAATAGTTAGGTTGGGGTACTAGCAGATAGGTTACAGACGTTAGGTGACACTGGTACAGATGCTGGCCATATGTGCATTTCGCGCGTAATAATTCGAATAAGAGAGTTTTGGGGTGTAATAGAGAGAACAGAGAAGTAGGCAGGATTCTGGTTCTGGTCGCGAGAGGAAGCGCACGCGCGACCGCGCGTGTGCGCGGGTCTTTGTCTGTGTGTAAGGAGATGTGACGTGTGTAAGATATTAAAGGTTGTACAGTTTACCACACAAGTTTTGGATTTGGATCTACTTCATCATTTCTACATGAACGCTCATTCCTGTTTACATTTTGGTGCTCGTGAGAACGGACTGGGTTAAGCGAAACACGTAAGGTACACGCTATAATATCATCACCGGCTGTAACGATGGAGAGGAAGAAGCGACGGAGCAAGGAAGAACGAAACAAGAACGCAAGTTACTTCATATCGATCTACGGGCCAGCAACGAAACAGAGAAAGAATGACGGAGAGCGAGAGAAGGAGAGAAGGACGGAAAGAGCGGGTTCTGCTGATGAGATGGGAGCCATGCAGACTGCGCTAGCGCCGACGACGATGACGATGGCGACGAGGATCGGCTGGAGATCGTGGAGATCGCGAAGGACCATATACTACAAACGATTCACGAGCCACGGAGCCACGGAAGAAAACTGGAGAAGGAAGAAGAAGATTGGAGCGAGATAAAAGGAGAGCGGACGAGAGAGCAAGAGAGACAGAAGAAGAGAGAGAGGGAGAGTCAGAAGGAAAGAAGGCAATGCCGAGACGCCGGAGCAGACAGCAACGGAAGCCGAGAGAAGACGCTGGAAGAAAGAAGAGGAAGATATATAATGCCGTGGTAAGTGTTGCAATTTTCCTAGTATACATTTCGCTGTGCTCACGCTGTTTACTGTCGCCTGACTGCTGAGTATACTGACGATATTGCCTGTGCGGACGGTTTGTGCCACAATAGTGCGTTAGGGTGGGTTTGTGCCACAATAGGGTGCATACGGTATAAAGTCGCGTATACACGGTCCGAGAGAAGGACTACGGGGTTTTTGTCACAGCATATATACGCTGGGAATTCTCCACATAACGTGTCAGGGAGCACGGAATATAGATACGCTAGATGTGTAAGCACCCTAAAATACTGTACTGTACTGTAAGTGTAAGATAAGAAGGCACAGTAGATAACCGTATGATATAATATAGTTACGCACAGGCAGTGGCGTACGCAGGGGGGTGTTTGGGGTGTTAAACACCCCCCTTGCCTCTGTCCCAAACAAACATTTTAAAAAAAGAAAAGAAGAGGAGAGGAGAAAAGGGAGAGAGAGAGAGAGAGAGAGAGAGAGAGAGAGAGAGAGAGTGTGTGTTGTGAGAGAGGAGAGAGAGAAAGAGAGAAAAAGAGAGAGAGAGAACAGAAGGGCCCTATATCCTGTTATTAAGTTTAGTATTTTAAAACACCCCTTCCCGGCGTAAGAAGCAAGGTAGCATTATACCCCCGTCACACCCGGACGGCGACCATCCGCGACCGTACGGCGACGCCAGTAAATGTACATAGGTGCCGGCAACGCGAACACAACGCGAGAAAAAGTCCCAACAAATACAAACTTGAAAAAAAACGCCGCTCTACCCGCGACCCTGGGCGATCATACCGCGTTCTCGACCGCGCGCATGCCGCCACGACCTCTCCCGCTATGACGTTCTATTGTAGATCTATGGGCTTGGCAACGCGATCACTCGGCGTTCCAGCGGCGCTCTCACCACGCTCAGGGTTCTTAGCCCACGCGTCTTCTTACGTGTATCGCGACTGCCTGCGACACATCGCGGCGTTTTTTTACCACTTCTAACGGCGACTATATAAGCTGGCAGGATTTTCGAAATTGTAACTGTATAAGTGTGCGTTTGCTGAGTAGAAACACGATGCGAAGAAACAAGCTACGCAGAGGGCCGAGCCGTGCCGTGGCCGAGACAGATCGGCATAACATATCGCAGATCGATGAGACAGATCATGAATTCCTCGCGTTTGAAAATGTACCATTTTCGGCAGCTCCTTGCCCACGCGTGCTCTGCGCGTGTACTACGTTTATGGAATGTTGACGGCGCTTGTCTCACGACCTTGGCGACGCCCACCGCGTTCTCACCGCGTTCCAGGTCAGATCGCCGAACCATGGACGTTTGTTTTTGATACTGCTCAAAACAAAGCCGTGACTCGGCGATCATTGGCGACCATGGCGACCACATCCACGATGTCTGGCGTTTCCACCACGCTATATCCACGCTTATCGGCGACGCTTGGCGCGCCCCTTTTTTTGTTCTGGGCCCATTTCGCTCGCGTAGACGCAGTAGAGACGCACCCGTGTGACGGGTATAACGCGGGTAGGATGTGTACAATGAAAGAGATAGAGAGCCCAAAAATGTCGATCTGCGCATGCTCGCGAATCGCGATGTCGTAAGCTAATTAGATTGGGCAGAATTGGATGCACGCACACAGTTTAGGTTCATGACTTGAGTTTGTTTACATCGTGAGCTTTTCAGAACTTTACCCGATTTTAACGGCTCTACAGGCGCCGATTTAGGCCGTTTGCACCGGTTCCAGAAACCGAGTCAAGGCTGGTTTCTCAGAAGTTACCCTCAAAATTCACCAGAATGCACAAATATAGGTCTTTTTTTAAATTCCCGGGGCATCGCGCGGAACCCCTAGCTGTAAATAGAACTATGGAAAACTGTCAACAAAGCCCTCTGGTCCGCCCCTGTCTACTCTTAGCTATCAAGACGCAGCTTTTTATAATACTAGTGAGGCCATGCGCGGACGTTTGTCGACTCTCTGTAGTGCTACGTAGTATATGATATAGTACTTGTACTAAACAACACACCCACAGCAAAACCGGGTGCAACCTCCTCTCTCGTCTCCTCTTCTTCCTCTCCTCCTCCCGTCCTTTCCTTCTCATGCTCTCCTTCTCTCTCGTCTCTCTCTCATCCGAACACCACGCACGAGCACGCACGCACGCACGCAGCCACTGCACGACGCACGCAACCACCCGACACACACAC